TTTAAGATACAGATTTAGCCTATGTGTCTGCCATGAAATTCTTGTGACACTAAGTTCCAAACTTGCAATACCTCAGCTGCTCCTCCTCTATTAGACAGATATGGTAACAATAGTCCTCTGTTCCACAGTCCCTGTAGCCTGAAGAAGAGAACTTCCATAGCCTAGCTACAATGCAACTGTGCAAGATTCTAGCAATAACAACATGAATGTTACACTTGTTCATTTCTTGATATTTTTATTATATATCTTCTTTGAAAGCCCAAGTCCCAGTACCTACAAAGTTGGGAAGGAAAAGGGGGGGGGGAAAGTAAGAGATACTACTTCTAACAAATAGTTTCAGAGGAAGGCTTCAAAACCTAAATCCTAAATGCCGAGTAGATTTTTTAAAAATCCCTTTACAATAAGACACTTGTGTATGAGACAATACTAAATACTTGTAATGTCAGTATTATAACAGTTATTTTCTATTTGTACTTGATGAAACAAATTTATTTCCTAAATAGGAAGTATGTGAGCAACTAATAGTTGTTGGTGATCTGTTTCTAAGAGGCAGAAAAACGCAGACAGAAAGAAGGAGCAATGTGGTTAGAGGAGGAACACCAGCAGCTGGTGGAGATGGCAGAAGAATGCCTGGAATATGAAAGAATAAACTGGGAGAAGACAAGGTATGAGGCTAAGGAGCAGATGTAGAAAGAGGAATACGCTACACTAGCTCTAGAGGAAGTCAAAACACAAGTACAGTCTTTTATCAAGTATGTAGCTCTCAATCAAAGAGTAAAGTTACTTTTTTCCTCAGTAATAATAACACATCTTTACACCTAGTGCCAGCCTACACAAAAATATTTCTGTAGTCAGGAGTTCTATCAGTGTAGTTAACATTAAAGAGCAGCATCAGTACCTCAGGAGTCAGTTAAGCTGCCTTCAATTCAAACTCCAAGCCATAAAGCAGTTTTTTGCTACTTAACCCATTTTCCAATGTTTCCTCAAATTCCATCAGTACTCTTTATTTTAGAGTTTATAACATCCATTTATGCTACAGAAAGACGACCAGCTAGATTTCTCTGCACATCTCAAACTATTATTACCTTCACACAATCCATTGGAGCAGACTCCAGCATAGCACGCTTCTAGAACTCATTCCAGTCAGCACCTCAGAGCACAGGGAGTCTGCATACCACATACTAAAACACTGCTGATGGCATCACAGGCCTTAAGAGAAGCCTAGATCACACTGTGAGCAACAAAGCGCTACCAGAGATAAGAGAATATATGGTAACCACAGTTGAGCAGTGAAAACTCTCTCCTGCTTGCTCTGTTCATATTGTTGTGAAGGGAGAACGTACTGGCCCACAAAAAGGTATTAGCATAAGCCAACATTTTCATCCTCAGCCCATTCCAAACATTGCTGAAAGCCAACTCCTGGGGCAATTCCAGTCTCCTGTCCAGGCTCACTGCGTCAGAAGGCACTGTATGCACTGTAGCAAAGTCAAAGAAACTGCCAGTGAATCAGCAACAAGATCACCAATGTGTACGTTTCAAGTCAAAGCACCTTTCTAACCCAGGGAGGAAATCTGTCCTGTGTCTGCAATTTGCTTTATTAACACTGTTTGCAGGCAAAGAGCTGATCTGGAACAACCTCTGCAGTTCCAATGAGCACTACTAATAGAAGTTACCAGACTAGGAGACACTCAAGATGTTCCTCGTCCATGGGTGTGTTCTTATTTTCAGCTGCTTGAAAAGCTAGGCCTGAAAACCAGACTAAAGAATAAACAGAAGCTTGGTGCCAGGAATGGGTTGTTGCAGTGAGCTCTTTCAATTCCAGTCTAATTCAAGGTTCCAATCTGATTCAAAAGAGGAACAGCATTCCTTTTTGGGATAAGTGCTACTTTCCTTCACAAATCCATTTTCCCAGACAGCAACAGTAGTCTGTGTATACAACCTACCGATAGAAAGTAAAAGCATTGATGTTTTATCAGCCAGTAGAAATGAATACAGACAGACCTCTTGAGGTGCCAGAATACATTTAGTTTATCCTTCACTGTTTCACATGCCAGATTCTTTCATCCATTTTGTGTTGCGCAAAAACAATGGAACTGTCAGTTTACAAAAGGTACAAAGACCTCAGTGCTAACTTCTGGAGGAACCCTCCAAATCAATAAATTGCAGTAAATGTGCTACTATTTAAGAAAAAGTGAAATTTCAGTATCAGCAATAAGAAAAGAACAGAGAAAGTACAGCAAGATAAGAACTTTTCTTCCCTGTAAATCAGGTTTATCTCATTTTTTGCTTCTCTAGTACTGTCTAACATAACAAAGCAAAACATTTGTGGATTCAATTCGTATTGCAGTTCCTGTAGAGAGTCTCCTGTGGAGAAGAGTAATCAATTTTTGCAGTCTCTAAACTGAAGCTGAACTTCATAAAATGAAATATGCATTAAGTACTGGTTCTAAAAGCCAAATAAACCCAGTTTACACTACTTCCAACTTGTGCAATTCCTACAGTTCTCTGTATGGTGTCTCATAAGCTGATCATCTCATTTAAGAAAATCTACCTGAACACTAATAATTGGAAAGTGCATTCCAATGTGCAAGTCCGCATAGATATTTTAGTATTCTTAAAAATAATTTCCATTTAAAGTAGGAAAAGTGAAAAACTATTATACAGTTGTAGAGCTTCTAAAACAATACACGATTAGTCAAAATTTGTGGCAGACTTCAAGCTTTAGCATTATCTGACATCTTAACTGAAGTCCAAATCCTGCCAACATTTACACACTTAACTTCAAAAAAAACCACCTCATTTTGTCGAATTGATGATCATGTAGGTACATTCATACTTAAGAGAACATGCAAATCCTTTAAACATACCAGCTTCATCAAAATCTTTTGAGACTGGTGATTTTATAAAAGCTTATCAATACAGCTTTTATACATCACCATAGTGAATATTAAATATATTAATTTCACAATTAGAAATAAAGCAAGTTTTAGCTTCCACTTTCCACTGCATAACTGATCCAGTGAAGATGGTTTCATTCTCCCACCACTTTTTTTTTTTAAACACTTAACAAAACCAGCCACCAACAGCTGAATTCAGTTCTTTTAATATACAGGCATGCATGTAAACAAAGAAAAATTGCAAGAGGAAAAAAAAGATTCTTTTCTGTTTTTCTCCAACACATGAAGGCCAATCTGACTTCCAGTCATGTGCTTCAAAGCTACGAGTGGTTTAGAAATTCTACTCCTGGCTATCTTTTCAGAAAGAAATTGTTTGAAAAGTATTAGTTCTTCCAGAGAAATTAAGAAAATTCAAGTCTGTCTACTCCTTAACTTCAAAATTCAGGTTTCAATTTACAGCTTCCAAGACTGAACCTCCTTAAAAAGAGTACTAGTGCATCTATGTAGCATGTGCATCTTCTCATTTTACATGGAGCTCTTAAAACTCATCTTTGAGGCAGAGTACAGTTTTCCTGTTATTACTGTTCCATCAAGTTGTAACAGTACAAGCATTGCTTTAGACCAGCAGCTGCGTTGAAGCACTAGTTCTCTGAGGTTTCACAGCAAGACTGAGAAAGAGGTCAAATCAGTTTGTCATTGGTACCATATCCACTCTACAAAGAGATGTATTTTAGGACAAGGTTACACAATAGAAAGAAGTCTTCGCCTTGAGCTTCATCCTTCCAAGGCTGCATTCTGCAGGAAACCCTCCTCCATAGTCTCAAGAGAACTAAATGCAGTGCTTCAACTAGAAAGCTGATATAAATGAGCATATAAAAACAGATTCTGGAGAGGAAAGCGAACAGTAAGAAGCAAAGAAAGTTGGTGCAGCAACTAGAGTACTACCATCAAACCCAGAGGATCTGAATTCAGTTCTCAGCTTCACTTGCAGCTTCCAGAGTGACCAGAGTAAACTACTGTCCCCTGCACCTCAGCTCCTACTTTGCAGAAGAGGCATAATGGGAATTTGTCTACTAAGAGTAGCATTATACAAATTTATATTAGATGATCTGATAATAATCACAAGGCTCTTACTTCTGATATTCTGAAGCAGGTATATTTAGTATTCTAAAAAAGCAATTGGAGATAAGTGCAAAGAAGCCATGTTGTTTTACACCACAGTTGCAATTCCTTTTCCCCCTGAGAATTTAATTACATAGAATACTTCAAGAAAACCCCATATTCTGACTTTTGTAAACAAAAATTTTAATCTTTAAAAAATTGCTCAGTGCAACTATGTGTACAAAAGTATTACTAAATCAGAAACAGGACACAAACCACAAGCATGCAAGAAAATGCGTTTCTAGCTTTACAGCAAGTGCCATAAAAATTAATCATTCAAAATCTGCAATTCCTTCCAAGTATGCCAGCACTAAAATGTGTATTTAAATGAAGCTGGCATTCGTAGTGAACTTGATTTACCAGACCAAATCATAAACAAGTCATATTTATCTGTAGAAAAGCTGAAGCAGGGACAGCGCAGAAGCGTTCTCTCCACACTATTCTGCCCATAACCTCCAATCTCAGCTTTCATATCCAGTAACATGTTCTCAAACTGAACATTTAGAACCTGCAACTAGCTAGACCCTCACGATGAGGCCTGATGAACTATCATGACACTTCCATGTCATGCAGAGAGATTATTTAACAGTACCATGATCATATGAAACGCTGAGATTAAAAACCACCTTTTTATTTCCTTCCAAGTTGCATTTTCAGTTTAACTTTTGCAGATGAAGTGAAGCTGTATGTAACTGTATGTGAATATTCTCCAACAAGAAAAGAAACAGCTAGTATTCTCAAATAGTCACCTGCAAACCAAGCAGATCAAGCATTTTACCAGGGCAAGTAGAAAAAAAGTTGCTCTTTTAATTTTAAAATGAGGTATATTTACAAAGCACAATTTTTTTTTTGGCTTCAGCGTATAATTACTGGAAAAGCATGCCCTAATTGTAACTTTTTACCGTTTTGCTCACTTCCAAACATTTGAAAAGAAAATGCAAGTTGTTTATAAAATTGTTTTTCTTGTTTATTTTAAATGAAGCTGGTACAGACAATGTCCATTCAAAACCCACGTCCCAGGCCAAAAGGTACAAACAAGAGTGTCAAAGTAACACCAGTTGTCTGCTGTGAACATTCTCGCATGAATACCTGCGTGTACTAATTGCTATATGAAGTTAAAATGCTTCTGGGCTCTTCTGGCAAGATTTAAGAATCATTAGGGTTTTCAATTTTATGTCTTCAGCAAAGCCATCTCTGGAGCAAGGTACAGATGACAACAGTTCTAGCTTTCCCATTTCCAACTTGGTAATCTTCTTCGTTGGGCCATCAGCACAATTTAAGCAAAATAGCTCTGAGTTATGGATACACAATTTCTCCACAGTTTTTTTTCTCTGAAAAACTTCATCTCGCACTGAAAGTTATAGTCCAGGAGTGAAACAGTCACACATCAAAACTTCAGGGCAGATATGGAAGTCATTAAGAACACTCGCCCACCTGGCAGATCTTACAGCCTTCGTGCCCGAAATGCACGAATCTAGCGAACATACAAACGCGTGTGTGTACGTGTATTTCTAAAGGGGAGGGCGGAGGGGAAGAGGGGAGCAGGGCTGCAGCTGGATCACAGAAGTTCAGCACAATGAGAACAGAAACAATAGTGTATCATGAGCACGAGAATTCAAAATACCAGACGCTTGAAAATAAACTCCCAGAGATGGGGTGCCAGTTTCAATTCAGTGTTGAACACCACATTACAAAAGAACTATTATTTAAAAATAAAAAAGGATTAAAGGGGGAAGAAAACAAACAGAAGGATCTAAACTGTTGAGTGACCCCCCGTCTGTTCCTGATAAACTTCAATCACATCTTCCTCCTCCATCCCCAGCTGTGAGAACAGAGAAAAACAGCATATAAGTGTTATAAATCCAGTGTACTGAATTCAGAGCAGGTCCTAGACAAGTTATACAAAGATTTGTTTCTCCGTTGCATCATAATTCATCAAAGGGGTGAAAGAAATTTCAGGCAGTACCTCACTAGCCAACAGTCATGATTTTTAGTCCTTTTCCTTCAGTCCTACACATCTCAGCACAGCGCAAAGCAAAGCCTTATCAGTGAAGTCTAAATCCACTTGTGGAGCAGTACACATCAGCCTGGAAGTTGCTGGCTTTTACCCTTCTCTAACTCCCTTCTTAGGCAACGGATGCACAGGAACATAACCAACATCATAGTGAGTGCACCAGCTGTACAGCCACGTGAATTACGTACGGCACATCACTAGCTCACAGTGCAGCTAAAACCTACAGCTTGCAACTCAAAGCCTGTTTACAACTGTTCTCTCAAAGACAGTAACTTCTTGAGTTTCACAGTACACAAGCTTGCCTTATTTTTCAGAAGGTCATTATTATAAGTGTTTCTTCCTGCTTTATCCTAACAATTGGTGGAAGTCACTGGACAGAAGTAACCTGTTTTCTGTTTATTTACATTTTCATCTAATAAACGTGAACTAAATACCTATCTATTCTAAAGTCACACTGAAGTACTAGCTCAACAACTGGGAAGTTCCCTTAGCTTTTTTTTTCCCCCCTCTCTGGTAAGCAGTGACTACACCCTCACTACTGAGATAACATTACACATGATGGTCCAATCAGTCTTTCTGAACTGCATATTGGCCTTTAAAGATTCTAGGTAGACAAATATAATCAGACTATATTTGACTAAATATAGTCCAAAAAGTCAGCTATATTTAAAGAAACATCTTCATTCCGGTTAACAGCCTAGCAGAACAGAGAAACTAACCAATTTGGTATTTAGTTTCTCTAGTGAACTACGTCAGACATTCTAGAAAGAAACTCACCTCCTTGGGGGTATGATTATCAGTAATTCTCTGACCCTCGAAGAGGAACCTGAGTGAATTCATTGGAACACCCTAAAAAAAGAAACAAATGTACAATAAAAAAACAAAGCCAACTTACTGAAACTTGTACTGATTTACAAGAAAAACATTTTTAATAAAAACAACACATGTCAAAGTCAAAAAAGAAAGCATTTGTTCCTGTGACACAGGGAGCTTGGCTACCCTGTTGCAACCATGTAGAATACAAAGAAGTGACTCAAGGAGCATGATAGCGCTGAAACGTGTGCTTATTCCAAAGTCTTACTGGAGTTCTAGCTCAACAACTTGGAAGTTTCCTTAGCTTTTATTTATAAATAAAAAAGACAAGAAAAAAAAAGTACTGACTATACTCTTGCTTCCAAGACATTACACACAAAGGTCCTGTCTTTTTCCGAACTGCGTGTCAGCCTTATTAAAGATCCTAAGACAACAGGATGATGTTCGCTTCATGAACTCCTATCCTTGCTTTCCCAATCTTATGCCACCATAGGAAGGAACAGCAATCTTTACCATTATCAAGTTCTGCAAATGCTCTACACCGAGGACAAGAACAAACAGAGCTGAGGGGGGAAAAAAAAGGAACACCATTCGAATAAGGAGAAAGGAGCATCCCAATGGTAAGTAAAGTGAAGTTACAGTAAGTCTACTGTACAGTGTGCCTATGTTACAGCAGAATAACATACTTCACCTCAACAGACAATGGAAACGCCTCATCTTTTTCCTCTTTCAAGTTATGAGTAAAACAAAGGCAAGTGAAATATGACCTGTTTTGTGCATCAATTAGGCCTCAGAAATATTCCTTGCAAATAACTAGGCAGAAAATTTGACAGGAAAGAACAGCTCTTCACACTGTTCCAACAATCCCTCTGGCCAACCCAGAAGAAATGCTCACGGTCCCTTCACCAGAGAAAGACTACTTGACATCAAAAGCCATACTGACTGTTGATGAAGGAAATCACAGACTCTCCAGAATTCAGTCTAGGAGATAGGTACCGCTGTGTTCATTCAAAAAATTATCTCTTTCATAAAAAAAGAATTCACAAACATGCATTTTCATCAGTCAGTAAGATCGCTGCATGAATTATTTCCAAGATGTTATATTAAAATTTCAAGTTTTTCAAATGAATCACAATTTGAATCATTTGGATTTGGCTACAAATATATCTGGTATTTGATCTTTTCTTTCTTCCTACTCCAGAAGGATAGCAAAAAAGAATACATTCTACAAAAGAACACATTAATTTACACGTTCAACTTGTCTCAAGGTATTCATAAAAACCCTAAATACTTATTTCTTATAATTTTATCTCCTGAAGTGAACTCCACCACAGCTACTCAAGAGAAGGCCACACAAGGCATCTATCTCCAAAGCAGCGGGTAAACTACACCAGGGCTTCAGGAAAGAGCAGCAGTGAACATACAATATCTGCCACAGAATTTGAAGTGAAGATATATTTTTGTTCTGTAACAGTAGTTACTATGTACCTACAGCCACAATTAATGTTGCAGATGTCTTTGACTTAGGGCATAATAGCTAGCACTAATCAATTTCCATATTACACAAAAAGAAAGTCAGGTAGGAACACCAGGAGGCCCGCATGGATGAATAAGGAGCTCCTAGACCAACTCGGGCACAAAAAGAAAGCCTATAGGAGGTGGAAGCAAGGACAGGTAGCCTGGGAAGAATACAGAGAAATTGTCCGAGTAACCAGAGATCAGGTTAGGAAAGCCAAAGCCCTGATAGAGTTAAATCTGTCCAGGGACATCAAGGGCAACAAGAAAGGCTTCTATAGATATGTCAGTGATAAAAAGATCTAGGGAAAACATAGGCCCTCTCCGGATGGAAACAGGGGACCTGGCCACCCAGGATATGGAGAAGGCTGAGGTTCTCAACAACTTCTTTGCCTCAGTCTTCACTGGCAAGAGCTCTAGCGGCATGGCCCAAGTCACAGATGGCAAAGGCAGGGACTGGGAGAATGAAGAACCGCCCACTGTAGGAGAAGATCAGGTTCGAGACCATCTAAAGAACCTGAAGGTGGACAAGTCCATGGGACCTGATGAGGTGCATCCGAGGGTCCTGAGGGAACTGGCAGATGAAGTTGCTAAGCCACTATCCATCATATTTCAGAAGTCGTGGCAATCTGGTGAAGTTCCCAATGACTGGAAAAGGGGAAA